TATTCAGTCTTTTCTACCCCCATTTCATATATAATTCTTTAAGATTTGGTTAATCAGTTCTTAAGTTATAGAAATTTCGGTAAATTTGACACACACATACACACATACGGACATTTTTTTAAAATTGCGATTTTTCGACGTTTTAGAACATTCTAAACACATTGGTAGCGGTAACTAAAAAAATTTTTTCTTACGAAAACAGCATTCTTTATGAGGAAGCTAAACACGAATATATTTATAAACATCAAATACTATAACATATATATCGGCTAATTGTAAGTGCATATCATCTAGAATCTTTCGAGTTAACTAAAAGACACTAATTTAGAACATCATTCAAATGATTCTAAAATTCAACATTTTGAATAGCTGTAACGAAAAACTAAGTTATTTTCAAGCTTTATGCTTGTGGAGACTTTTCAGTGACTTTTCAAAAATTATAAACAAACTACGTAGTTTTAGCCAATTTTACCGAAGCCAAAATCCATAAGAATGGCTCGATGTTGAGCCAAAACGTACGAAACGTTTGTAATTTTTTAAAAATTTAAAATAAATCAGGTTTCTGATATTACGCACTGATAACCACATTGTTATTCTCAAGGCCAAATCACGATTGTTTATTGTTATCAAGAGTCCTAAATTATTTTATTTGAAATGCATAAGGTTTGTACAGGTTCCTTTATTTTATAAAAATACGTAGAAAATGTTTTGTAGTAGATAGATAAGTTTATTGTATATCCTCTCAGGATTTACAAGGCGTTTTTGTGAGGAACGTACCCAAACCTCTTACAAACTTATACCTCACCTTCTGCGACCTGGCCCTTTGCGACCATTACACGCTCGTACCCGTCCCGCCCTTGCACCCTCGCCCTCGTTTCCCTCTCTTTCTTTTATCCTCTCTCTCACGCACTCCTCCCTACTCTTTTACCTTGCTCCTTGTCGCCTCTCTACCTTTTTTCATTTCACTCTGCTACTCCTTCTCTCCCTCTCCTTTCTTCAGCCCTTCTCTCTCTTGCCCTTCGCCTCCTTCTGTCACCCCGCTTTTTGCTATTTCTCTATCTTTTTCCCTTTTTCACCCAGTTACTCCTTCTTCTATCCATTTCCTCTCTTCCGCCCTTCTCTCGCCTATCCTTCGCCTCCTGAAACCCAAAAACTCAAAAATCAACTTAAAACAGCTCTGCTAACCTCCCCTTCTGCTCCTTGCACCCTCTTCTCCTGTCCTTTCTCTCATCCTTAAAATCCTTTATCCGCCTTCTCTCAGACCTACTTTCCCTTTTGTCTACATTTCTCTATCTCCTTCTCCTCCTCCTATCCTGCTCTTCATCTTTTTCCCTTTTATCCCCCCACCTTCTCCATCCAGCTACTTCTATTGCTATCTTCTTCCTCTTCCCTTCCGTCTCTCTTCACCTTTCTCTTCCTTCACCATCATCCCTCTCTTCTTTCTCGCCGTCCCCTGCAGCTACAATCACTGTATTCTCTCGCCATCCTCTGCCATCAGCCTCTTCCCGCACTCTCCTCTTCTCCCTTTTACAACTCCTGCCCTGTGGCGGCCGATCACTTCAATTCAGCTCCCACCGCTCCGCACTTTTACTATTCTCTCAACCTGCTCCTCTCGCTACTGTCATCTCTTCCCTTCTCTCCTTGCATCATTGCTGTCTCTCTCCTTTTACAGATCGAGCGGCGGCCGAACCGCCGGCTTCTCTTGCCTCCCAAACTCTTTCTGTAACCAAACCGCACTTTCCTTTTCCATCTGCCTCTCCAGCACCCTCATCACTCCTCCTTATCCCTCGCCTTCTTACTTTTAGATTGCGTTTGGAAACGCTACCCTGGAAGACTCGGGTGAATAGTGGTGGGGGCAGGGTGCACCCCGGGTATAAGTAGTTTCTGATGAGGCTATGGATCAATGGGGTGGATTGCAGAGAAATACTCGTACTTGTACAATATACTTCGCGTTCCTTTATTGAAAAGTTATACCGTGGATACGTTACAAAAACGACTTCTGTCGGTTCCCGTCGTGCAGCGACTCGAAGTAACATGCGCGATCGCGAGACTCGCTACCTCTCCTCTGCCGCGCTCGGCAATATTCAGATACGCTCGTGCGCCTACGCGCTAAACGCGACGACCTGCCTCAATACTTCCGCCGTCGAAGCGTTTTGCATACAAACCGAGACTAGTGTACAGCTTACTAAACCTATCCCTTGGAAGTGCCTTTGTAAATATATCAGCTAATTGCACTTCAGTGGGTACGAACTTTACTTCTATTTCGCGATTTTCGACCTGTTCCCGAATATAGTGATATTTTATATCAATATGTTTGGTTCTCTTATGGAACTCCGGGTTCCTAATAAGTTGTATCGCGCTCTGGTTGTCGATACACAAAGTTGTCGGTTTATCTTGCTTAAATCCGATGCCTGAGAGCAGCTTCCGAAGCCACACTGCCTCTTTTGCTGCGGTAGCCGCTGTTACATATTCCGCCTCGGTCGTGCTCAGTGATACTAATTTCTGTCGCTGAGACGACCATGTTACTATTCCGCCTGCTATGAGAAACGCGTACCCGGTCGTGGATCTGCGCGTTTCAACATCGCTCGCAAAATCTGCGTCCGAGTACCCGACTAGATCGATTCCTGACTCGTCCGCGCGAAACTCAATACCAATATCTACGGTCTTGACTAAGTACGACAAGATTCGTTTGACCGCCTGCCAATGACTCTCGTCGTGATTTTGTTTAAATATTTGCTTACTGTGTTCACCGAATACGCTATATCGGGACGCGTTACAACTGCGAGAAACAATAACGAACCGACAGCTTCCCGATACGGAACTGACCACCGCCTCTTTTCGTCTTTCTCTACCGGATACAAAATAGAATAAGGATCTGCCGGTACAGATACTCCTTTCGCCTGGCTCATTCCGAACCGCTCCAGAATCTTTGTCGCGTACGCTGTCTGATGTATAAACATCGATCTCGATTCTCTATCGCGACAAATCTGCATCCCGACGAACGCGCTACAATCTCCGAGAGTGATTTCGAACGTTTCGCTTAACAACTCGATTATCTTTTCGATCACTTTTCTCGACTTCGCGGTTACAATTCCGTCGTCCACAAACAACGCGAGATAGACTATCTGATTCTCGTACATCCCGACGAAAATACATTTATCCGCGTCTATTTCTGTTAGATTGAACCGTTTTAACACCTCTTTAACCTTAAGGTTCCAGCATCGCGGCGCTTGCTTCAACCCGTAAAGCGATTTTATTAACCAGCACACGACACTTTTTTGGTTCTCTTTTTTCTCGTCTGTTCGAAGTCCACTGGGAACCTCCATCCGGATATTCTCTTCCAGAATACCGTGCAGAAAAACAGTTTGAACATCAAACTGTGCCGTCTCAAGGTCCTCTTGTGTGATAATTGCAAAACTCGAAGCGAGTCGTACCTCACAACTGGCGAGAACGTCTTCGAGTAATCTATCCCTTCTCGCTGCTTGAAGCCTCGAGCACACAGGCGAGCTTTATATCTTAGCACGCTTCCATCTGTGTCTCGTAGGACCTTGAAGACCCATCGTGAGTCGATCGTCTTGCCGTCAGGAGTCCTCGGAACAATCTCCCACGTCTTATTCTTCTCGTGTGCCTGGAGTTCTTCTTCGATTGCTTCCGCCCATTGAACTGCTTCCGGACTCGACATCGCTTCTTCGTATGTCGTTGGAGTGCTGTGTTCAATACACAACGCATATCTCGATGGCGTTTGAATCGTGTTTCTATCTCGCAACACTCTCGGCGAGACCGCTTTTTGCTCCGCTTGACTTCGGCCGACCTTCTTAGCGTCTCCTCCTCGATCTCTTTCCGCTTTCGCATTCTCGGCAGCCACTTCGTCAACTTCATTTTCAACGATGGCTCCGTCAAGAACTTCCTCGTCTGGATCCTTGGCTTCTTCTTCTTCTTCGCTTTCGTCGTGCAGATGCGTGTTGCAAATTACATATTTTTTCTTAAAGGAACTATGCCTTTTTTTATACCAATTGATTCGTCTCATTATTCTGTGCATAAAAGTATTAAGGTAACATTACCGAAAACTTAATGTTTTACAAGATATTTTGTATTTTATGTCAAAATACTAGAACTTTCAAGCCTTATAATTCCAGAAGTTCTTAACGAAAAAATACTTTATTATAGTGTTTTGAAAAGCTATTGAGATTAGCTACAAGAATATGCATTGAAAATAGAGGTTTCCATTTAGGAAATTAAAGGTGTCGTTCACGTGAGCTTTAAACGACCATCCATGGTCAAACCAATGACACCATCTTATGTCCACCTTCGAACCAAACAACTTTTGTCTGAAACATTTTTCTCTCCCGGGCTTGGTTTTCGAGATATTCGACTGGATGGATTAAAATGGTCCACCCTGTATATATTTACGTAACCTTGACAACACTCTTCAAAATTATACTAATATTGCTATGTAATGCGTTACTTGAAACCATACAACTTTTGTCTGAAACATTTTTCTCGAAAATGCATAGTTTTCGTAAAATTTAGGACTTAATTCCATACTTTTGCCTAACCCTGTATATATATGTGTGAACTGATTTTCATATTATATATCGTGTATATATGTGTGTGTGTGTGTGCGCGCACGCGCGCGTATGCGTGCGCGTGCGCATGCGCGTGCCGTGTGCGTGTGTGTGCGTGTGTGTGTGTGTGTGTGTGTGTGTGTGTGTGTGTGTGTGTGTGTGTGTGTGTGTGTGTATGTGAACTGATTTTCATATTGAAACAATAAAATTTCACTCATTAGGTTTGTTCTACTTAGCTGAACGTCTTGCGTAGTTCATTTTTTCACTTTTTTTCTCCTACGTGAAAAGAAAAAGAGGAAATATAAACCATGCAAGAAGTTCAGCTAAAAAGAGCAGGGCTATTGTCAGTGTGCACCAGTGTTACACTAGTTTTTCTAGTAGAAAACGCTATTTGTGTCCTAATGTTTCTTTTTATGGGAAATTGATTCTTTTCAGGAGCCGGTATCTTTGAAGTTTATGTTAAGCTACACAATGGACGACGAAACGTTTACAGAAATGGGAGAAGTGGATACATTACCTTATGTATGAAGTTTAGTTGACCCTCTTTTGTGAGCTACATGCAACGCTGCACTCATATTTGTCGTGTGTGCCCTCAGTAGATCGAAAATGATAAAAATGTTATGATTACTGCGATTCAACTATAAACAAGCAATTATAAAATTGTTAGATATTCTACACTTTAAATTTAGCATACCAGCAGTTGAACCTCCATATTCTTAATAATTTCTCTAATTTTAATTTTTCTTTTAACCTCTAGTCTTATAGTTGCTAGACAGTATGTGGAAATATTTGCTGTATTTCTTTCCGCTATGTGGCAAGTGTTTTTGCGTTTTGTGTACAGAATTTATTTTAATATGTAGGACTTGTGCAAAATGAAAATGTCGTTTCAGAATTTGTACGATGACATTATCATATAATATGTGACCAAATGACAGATGTAGAGATTTCATGTAATGAAATAATGAAGTAATGAGAGAACAAGAAGAGGTGTTAAGTTTATGAATATTGTGTATTGGTAGAATGCTAAAGGTATGCAGAAGTCCAATTATAACAATCGGAACAAATTAATAATTATGAATGCTATACAAACTATTTTAAGGCTCCTGGGTACTCACCGCGGCCATATTGAAATTATGACGTCAGAAGCGAGAAATAACACGTTGAAAATTCTTGTATGTATTTCCAAATAAAAAGATATTTGCTTAAAATAACACTACAGATCACTTCAGCACATTCAAAAATACTCCGAGCTGCATCCCTTTCCCTTCACAGTTATTAAATAATCGCAAAACAAATGTGATACGATGCAGGCCTATTTGCAGGCGCAGGTTTCGTATTGCCAATGGTCAAATTACGTTGAATCTACAAATTCTCGTGCGATTACTAAAGGCCTAAAGGCTTTATATAGTAACTTTGCCTCGGTCCGAGAACTTGGACCAAGTTCTAGCATCGTAGACACAGGCCTTTAGTCAAGCAACGTTGAACGTGGTCAGCGCGATAGTTTAAATGGGTTATAGGTTTCATACATGAAGATTCTTCATGGTTTTATATTATTATTCATTTTACGGCTGTTTCTTAATTGTCAAGGGAAAGGAATAATATGAACCTAACCTAACTTCGAAGTATTTTCGAAGTATGCTGAAGTGATCTAAAGTGTTATTTTTTGCAAATACATTTTTATTTGGAAATGGCATGCAAGAATTCTCAACGTATCAATTCTCAACATTTCTCACAATCTCACAAGATGTCGGGAAGAGCAAAGGAAAAAAAAATCCAAAACAAAAAATATACTAAATATCTCGCATAGAAAGAGCTCTGTAGGGTAGGAGACAGTTTTTCATATATTATGTCAAAATAATTATAAATGGATCAAGCAATGGGGGAGAACACGATAACCGGGGCCCCTTGATTTGACTGTGGTTTTTGGTAGAATTTTTTACGCTAAACAAAAAATTATATAGGTCTTATAGGGCTAACTGCTTTAGTTTTCGAGATATGCAGTATTAAAGCTCAAAATAAATATAATATAAATCTTTACTGGGTAATTGTATAGATGGGGGGGACCACCTTGGATGACCTTAATATTTTAGTATGTTGTCAAGGTCACCCTCCTGAGTGACCTTCAAAAGGTTTCAGCCCGCGCTCGTTATTCGTTATCATCGGTCATCGGAGAGGACGTTCCTTTTTATTCATAATTACCTTTAAATTATTAGATATAATATATTATCGTATAAATATATATGTACATGGCGGGGAGTGTCCATGGGGGGTGCGGGGGGAGGGAAGCCCCCCTGCCCAACCCACACCGCCAGGTGCACGCGGGGCAGAGCCCCCCCACACTTGTAGGTTTACTCACACAATGGGGGGGGGGGTGCGGGGGGCGAAGCCCCCTCTGCTCAACCCACACCGCCAGGTGCACGGGGAGGGGGGGTGCGGGGGACAGAGCCCCCCGCCCACACTCGTAGGTTTACTCACACAATAGGGGGATGCGGGGGGGGGCGAAGCCCCCCCTGCTCAACCCACACCGCCAGATGCACGGGGGGTGCGGGGGGCAAAACCCCCCCGCCCACACTCGTAGGTTTACTCACACAATGGGAGGGGGTGGGGGGGGCGAAGCCCCCCCTGCCCAACCCACACCGGTGAGGTCGCCCTTAATCTAGACATTTACCAAGTTATATTAATTTTGAGCTTTAATGCTGCATATCTCGAAAACTAAAGCAGTTAGCCCTATAAGACCTATATAATTTTTTGTTCAGCGTAAAAAATACTACCAGAAACCACAGTCAAATCAAGGGGCCCCGGTTATCGTGTTCGTGCCAAGCAATGAAATAAGATTCATTATGAATGTAATCATATAAATTTCAAACAATATATATTCCTGTATTTATTTACCGTACGTGTGCGCACACACGCGCGTACGTACGTACACAATTCTATAACACAATTGCAAGTTATAATAATAATTTGCGGCCGACTTCTTTTATTCAGAAATTATTCCAGAATTAGACATTTGGTTGTACAATCTGTTTTTCTTTCGTTTTCTGATCCTAACATGGTCGTGACAGATATGAATAGTAGGAGTAACGCAAGAGAAGAACTAATCTAACGAGAAATCTAGATTAGAGGACATCAACTGTATAATAATAACATTTTTTAGTGACTTAGATTATAGAAGGATATTAATTTGTCCTATGAATATCGCGAGAAAACTAAAACGCAATGGAAGCACTTTGTCATATTTATTACATTACAAAATAATAATATGTAATACAATACATTTCTGCGCAAAATTATTTTACAAACATTCATACAGCTTATAAAAGTATCACAATAAATATCACAAAGCAAAATTTTAAATACAAAACGTATTTTATGGTTAAATTAATGAAATATAAACTTCTTAATGAAAAACATTAAAATATTTTATTGATCTTTCATTATCTTAATAAAAACTAGGCAAAAATTGTAATAAATATCAATAAAGAAGAAAGAGAAAAGAGTTATGAACATGTATCCTTGAGTTTGTTTAAGAGAGGATAAATAGTTTAGTGCATTGTGTTATCTTTGTTTCTTATTAATTAAGATATCGCTCTTTCTATTTTGATATTTGTCTATTCATATATTTGAGAGTTTATCATACATGTATGTGTTATATTGCTTTGTAATATATGATTTAATAACTGTAAACAGTGTAAACCTATTTTAAGACTGAAAGTTTAATAAACCAAATAATAGAAGAGAATGAGAGGAGTTATATCATCTATATAAAGCAAAAAAGTTCCGCAAATATATTTTAATATTTTAATTAACAATTTAATTACTGAATTAGTATTTTTATATTTCGTATATATATATGTTTAATATTGAATTTCTAGAATTACTTTTTCTTAGCATAAATATAGAGAATATGGATATAAGAAGGAGGAAGAAAAAAGAAGGAAATAAAAAAGAAGTAATGAAATATAAAGAAAGTGCAAATGTAAAGAAGTAAGAATAAAAATATGTAGATAATATATTAACATACAAAATAATTCTAGCCATTTAAACAGGAGAAAAGCAAGAAATTATATTTCTTTAACGATTGGAAAAAAAGTAAAATGATAGAGGAAAAAATTGAAGAGAATAATAAAGAGTCCAACTTTGTATAACGCTTTTACATGATATTATTTTTACAATACGCAATTGCACTTTTTTAATGTATGATTTTTTCATAGATTTCTTTCATCACTTTATGTATAAAAGTATCAAAATAAGATTATCAAAAAATTAGATAATATTTTACGACATGTTTTATAGTATGTATTATTGTAAAAGGATAAAGAATTTTACTTTATATACCCCAAGGGGCCTTAAAGAGCGTTTTGAAGGGACGTACCCAACCCTAACCTCCAATTTCATCCACTACCTTACTGTTTCCTCCTTTGGACCAACGATTTAACGTCTCTTCCGAAAGACGGAGCCCAGTTTTCTCCACATCTTGCACGGAGGGACGCGGTTTTTTCGGAAAAAAACTTCCATGATTCATGGGTCTAGTGGACTCGAACCTGGTTCCTCAGATTACGAGTCTGGCGCTCTACCACTAGACCACACCGCCGCCCTGTATTATTGTAATTATAGTATGTATTATTGTAATAAGACACTACAGGCGCGCTACGTGCACGCTATTTATCTTTAATACGACATGCCCTTTTTAGAAGAGGATACATATATTGACATATAATAATGAAAGGAATCGATTTGTTTGTGTAAAAATTGGATTTTATTATCTTTCAACTTTTTTACCTATCATTTGTTCTACCTATCATTATTATTTGTTTTGGATCATGTTGACCATCATGAAACAAATATTCTCTGTTCAAAAGATTAAATTGCTAGAATTATCTTGTACATGAAACACTGAAAGTAGATCTGTTTCGAAGATATTTAAACTAAATACATAGAAGTTGTTTAGACATCTTATCATCTGATTTTTCATAATCAATTAAACTGCATTGGAAGATTTTTTGCGTTATTGTTATTTTATGTTAGTACTTACTTTCTTTATTACAACACAATATTTTTAAATTTATTTTACTCGAAATGACCATGTGGTTTAGTTTATTTATAATTTCAGTATTTTATAGTATGATATGTATTAGAAAAGTTAATGCAATTAAAAAAAGATAATCATACGTAAATTATAAATATAGGATATGTATATAAAAACTAAAAAGGTATAAATCCTTTTCCATTTTTAAAAAAGGCGTGTTACCTGAGTGAATTTCGTTTGTATCGTGAAATTGAAGCCTCTTTTCCGCGATGCCGATTGGCTATCTCGATTGATTGCCGCGCCGTAGCTTGCTTCATCCCGTGAGGGACTGTCATGTCATCGCAGAGTGTGGCGAGTTTCGTGCGTGTAGTGCGTCGTGTGTGTCATGATGTGACAGCTCGCGTCGTGTCGCGAGGTTAATCGTCCCGCGTCGTGTCGCGATTATTATATAATAGCATAATGTTAAAGCTAAATAGCGCGCGCGTCTGTAGTGTCTAGTAAAAAATAAAAACTGTTTTAGTATTTTATTTTTTATTAGCTTCATTTATTTTAGATTGTTTTATTAAATAAAATGCTTATTTTATATATTAATATAGAATATTGTTTTATTAATATTAATAAAACATTATTTTATTTATGTAGTAATGATTAATAAATTACATCAAGAGACAAGATAGTGTCTCGCGCCAAGTACATGCGAACCAAGACCGCACCGTGATCAAGAGACACGGTAGTGTCTCGCGCCAAGTACGCGCAGAGCGAGACCGACCGTGACTCTTTTACGCGACGCGACGAGTTGCGAGTACCCGAAATTTTGAGTCTCAATAAATGACTGAACGGATCGAATTCAGACTAATCTCAATCAATAGCTTGGGGTCGAATTATATGACCAAAAGTGTTTTTATTTTTCCTCTACGTACCCTACGAGCGGAGATTTTGTGATGCAAAGTCCGAAGTGTGTAAATTTTTATTAAGATACGTAGTCGTCAGAACGTCACTTTCACTTTTGCACCACAGCGCTAGTTGCGCGTTCTTTTCACTTTTTCGACGCTAGCGAGCTAATATCGCTAGTTTCGTATTTTAAGAAACGTCGTCGGACAAAAATGACGTCTGTATTTTTCCTGTTTTTGACACGAGAACACAGTATAAACAGTAGCGACAGTAAGGTACTAAGCGTCGGCACCTTTGATATTGTGATTTGCAAATCACGTGACATACCGCCATAACCCTGGTGTAAAGAAGCACTACATTTTAAAATGTAAATATCGTAAAATTAAAACTTAAAAGTAAAATATTTTGAAACTAAACATACCACAAAATAAAAGAATACATTTTTTTAAAGGTTTATTTATAATTACATTTTATTATTTACGAAACATAATAAATAAAATGGTAAAAATAATAAAAATACACTTCGAAGATAAATTACATATATTATATAAATGTGTAATACAAAGTAATCTAAATAAATTTTACATATGCATTGTAGAAATATGTAATTATAGATAATTACTACAGTTTTAGGTAAATAACTTTTAAACGAGTAAGTGGATCCAAATGAACTTTTGTACGAATATTTATCATAATTTCATTAGCATATGTACAAATTTCGATTTAATTCGTAATGTTACTTTCTCATCAAATTATAAGAATAAGAAGAAATTTCATACATCAACAAACTTTTTATTAAAATATCTCAGAAACTAAAGCCGTAATAAAAAATCTAACGACATTTTTTAAATACAATGTTGATACAAGCTTTCGATTACGACTAGTCCGAATAAGATTGGTGCAGCCAATCCCGAGATATGATAAAAATTAATGCAAACAAAAAAATTAAATAACTTTTAAACCAGTAAGAGAATTGTGCTGAAATTTTACACAGATACTTAGACGTAATAATAGACAATCTATGAAATTTTTAGATTTTTGGTAATGCTTTGAGATGTCACCCATCCTTAACTTGCTCCGATTTGGCATCCAAGTCTTATACGGAGGTTTTTGGGGCCGCTGATTACGAATCTGAATTCAAAATTTGCAAATTCAAAATGGCGGATCTAAAATGGCGGATAAAAATGCAAAAAATTACTTGATTGGCATGAAATTTGTCACTCGGGGATTTTTGGGGGTCGCTGATTACGAAGCTGAACTTAAAATGAAGGAATTCAAAATGGCGAATCCAATAACATGGAGCGAAATACAAAAAATAGATAGAAATGTATGAAGCTTGGTACTCACAACATAGTATTATCTAACCTAACATATATATTTTCGAAAACTGTTATATTTTCAAAAGCAAAAAAAAATAAAAAACAAAAAAAAATAAAAAAGGAGTGTTTAAATCCTACCGTTGCAGCCTTCTTGTGGCACACTCCGGGGTTAGCCCAGTCAATAGAGACATTTAAATGGAATTAATTCCGGGAAGCAATTTTTTTTTTTTTACTTTCGGAGGGTCATGAATAGTCTAAAACCGGATTTTCGGGATTCTAACCCTGGAGTGTTAGCCGCCATTTTGATTAGAAGGGTGATTTTGTAAATATCTCGCTTATTTTCAACTTTAGAGTGAAAGTGGTAATAACCAAACTTGTAGAAAATTTAATACTTTACAATTTTGGTCTTTATTATTTTTCACCTAGGATCGATATTTTGGGTCTTAGACTCGAAAGTGGGGGGGGAAAATTTTATTATTTTTTTTTATTTTTTGAATTTACTTGGTATAATGAAAAACATCTTTTCCACATCACCACGGGGGTAGAGTTTATGGCACGTTTATTCAAAAAATTAAAAAAAATAATAAAATTTCACCCCCCACTTTCGAGTCTAAGACCCAAAATATCGATCCTAGGTGAAAAATGATAAGAACCAAAATTGTAGAGTATTAAATTTTCTACAAGTTTGCTTATTACCAATTTCACTCTAAAGTTGAAAATAAGCGAGATATTTACAAAATCAACCTTCTAATCAAAATGGCGGCTAACGCTCCAGGGTTAGAATCCCGAAAATCCAGTTTTAGACTACCCATGACCCTCCAAAACAGTCAAAGAAAAAAAATCGCTTCCCGGAATTAATTCCATTTCAGCGGCTTTTTTGGGCTCTATTGACTGGGCTAGGTCGTGAATAAATTCACCAGCTAATCAAAAAGTATTGTTACCAATTTTTCAAAATCAATATCGACACTTACTAGTGTGAGAAATATTTTTACTTCATATAGGGTGCGTTCGGGGAGATGCTATTAGCGCTACCTAGCGCTACTGGCTGTTCGCGGAGCTCTATGATAGCGCTACCAAACACTGTCGTGACGTCATTACTGGTAGTATTATACATCATAACTGCTCGCTACCAACGCTCTTCCTTCCGAGAGTGCATTAATAGCGTTATCATTTACAGGCTCTATGAATAGCGCAATAGTGAATGGTAGTGAAATGCGGCGTTTGAACCAAAATAGTTTGGCGGCGGCGAAGTACGCCGATAATTTTCTCTTTCAGCGGCGGCGGAATTGGCGAGTGATAATTTATCGGCGGCGTTATAATACATTTTTTTAAATCCTCTTGACTTAAAATAAAGTTTAATTTTAACTTTTCATAAATAATATGAACAAAAATAGCAAACAATAAATACTCAGCACTTGTTTTCAAAATACGATCACTTTATTAGCATTACTAATACATTTTCTTTCACAAAAAAAAATTATCTTAAAATGTTATTCCTGACCATCATACGTAACAAAAATAAAATGTAATTCACTAGTATGACCATCAGATATCAGACTTCTTTCTCTCTTACTTATTAAACATTTCTTCACATATTAAGTTGTATAAATAATATGAATAATATAACTTATACTTAATGTAAAACTTATTTTACTGACTTTAAATACATATCTTTTATTAATTTGAAATAATTATCAAGAATAAATAATATTTTATTAGATTTTGATTATTTTAACGAAGAACGTTTTGCTGTCATAAGCAAACCTGCAGAAGAAAATGCGCGTTCAGATGCTAAACTTGTAATCGGTGTATGGCATAAATGCAGCATACCAATTTGTATAAATTCGGCAGTGACAACTTCATTTTATTCTACCATTGTAGAGGATCTTCGATAATAGATTCTGACATATGTAAATACTTTTTAACTTCGACAAGAATAGGATTTTCAGGAGGAATAATACTTGTATGTTTCGCAGCCAACTACAATTTTTTAACTCCAGCCAACTCGTAATTTTTTAACTCCAAGAAGCTCACACGACTTATTAAAATAATCTGCTTCTTTTATTAGATGCCATATTATGAAAAAGTAAAACTAAACGTGAGAATCTAACTTATTATATCATAAAAATAATAATCTTATATTTGGTGATTACCCAGATAGCACAAATGTGAATAGAAATTCATAGAGAATTCATTTTAAAGAATACATACAGAACTATAAAAATGAATACATGAAGAATTCCTGAAGAATTAATCACATGAAATTCGTCCTAAAGTATTCCTCATCCTTTTCATTCCCTTTCATATAATGAATACTTCACGATTTAGTGCTGAGAATACTTTAAGAATTTGTGAGGAATATATACAAATCCCGCCACGCGATATTCATTTGTTATTTGGTGTCCGCGGACTTATTACGTGTTGTGTGGCCGGGGTCGCTCAGTCGCGTCAAGTCGCGAGTTGCGTATACGCATTATATATGTTCTGTGCGGATTCACGGCTCGGTCGTCTCGTCGCAGTGTGCAGTGTCGCAATGAGTGTGTGATTGTTGTCGAGGTGGTGCGCCGGCGGTTTATCGACAAAACAAGGTTAAGCATCGGGAGATAGACGGGACGCCGGCGCCGTTTGAGAGACGTACGCTTGTCGCGTTAATTTGTCGGCGTCTCGCAGGTGACTTGCTTCAACGTGCGTTACAAACGGCTCGTTCTTCCGATTCCTACGGAAAAATTAAACATATCAACACTGGAGCGCTGCTCAATAAGATATTGGACGTTGTGAAGGAATGCAACGTTGCGAACGAAACTTCATACACGCAGTAAGCAGCGAGGATGCAAAAGGTTTGAGAAGAAATCTGACGAAAAAAACGTATTTTACGCAATCAACACAATTGTTTCATTTGTCGTTCAATTTAATCATTTTGTTCCACAGAATATGTGGCTCCCGATCTATACATACGTGCTCTGTGCGACGGAATGGATCAAGCGCTGGAGCGAATTGGAGAACGAATAATGGCTGATGCGAATACGAAAGGAAAGCTGTGCCAATAACGAGACGAAGAAGAAGAAGAAGCGAATTGGAGAACACAGTCTTAAACAACCGTCACACCCTGCTGTCGCTGATTCTCTGCAGCATTGAAAAATGTACATGTCTGTTTTCTGTACTGCATTCCATCATCCGTGAGGTGATTATATATACTTCTCCAAGATATTTTATATCAGCTGGTTTCATTATGATTATATTTGATCGCTTTTTTTTATTCAAATGAAGATACGCGTTTCAATATCAGAGATACCTATTCAATATCAGAGTTCTTTCTTCCATTATAATATAATTAACTTAAATTTTGTTAATTAACTATATGTAAATATCATTAACCTATCATTAACTAATAACCTTTATTATTACAGAATCACCTACCAAACGATAACGAACATATAATAAAAGTAAGTTTTTCAAATTTACTTTATGCATTCATATAATCATATTGCTTGGCGAAAATGAAACGTAGAGTGAAACCATTCAACGAATTATTACGATGGCAAAAAAATAGACGTTTACGTCTAATTGCAACTGGTATCGATGAATCAGATATTTCTGAAAATCATGACCTTAAAGCAAGAAATTGTACGGATTTAGACGTCGGAAGTAAAGAAAAAATCATCGAAGAGCGACAAATAGAAAATTCACTCTCAGATCTTAATGACACTCTGTATCATTCAAGTAATTCCAATGACTCTAATAAAGATATACAAGAGGAACTTAGCGAAAATATTTTGGAAAATGAGCATAATTTAAATAATTGTTTTGCAGATTGCAGTAACGACACATTCTTATCAGAAATACAATTGTGGGCAATTAGAAATAATATTTCTCACGTTGCTGTATCAGAATTATTAAAATTATATAAAAAGTATTATCCAAATGATAAGATTTTAAGTGACGCTCGTGTTTTTCTGAGTACACCGAGAAAATGTATTACTAAAACATGTGGTTCTAGAGAATATCTTTATTACGGTCTCCAAAAAGCTTTACTTGAAAATCTAAAACAAAACACCGATGATTTCACCAATAATTTTATAACGATTGATTTAAACATTGATAGACTTCCAATTTCTAAAAGTACAAATAGGCAATTATGGCCAATACAAGCTAAGATTCTCAATTTTGATCAACCTTTTATTGTTGGAATTTACCATGGCATGTCAAAACCTTCTTCAGTTGAAGAATTTTTGAATGAGTATCGATGAATACTGTGTTTTACGAGATAAAGGTTTTGATTGGAATGGTAAACTCCAGCTCGTTCATTTTTTAAATGCGTAAAAAATTGTAATGGCTATAATGGATGTGAACGTTACACAATAAGAGAGGAATACGACGATAAAGTTATATTTTTAGATTGTAACTGTGAAAGAAAAACCGACTATAGTTTTAAGAATAAACTTGATCCTCATCATCATATTAGAGTTTCTCCATTAGAAAAACTTGGAATCGGAATGGTCCGTGCTTTCGTGCTTGATTATATGAACTTAGTTTTACTTGGTGTAATGAAAAGATTATTACTATTGTGGACAAAAGGTATCAAAGAATGTCGCATTAGCAGTCGCGATTATAAAATATTAACCCCACTAGTCGACTCTCGAGTGGCTCGCGGCGGAAAAGTTTGTCAAAAGTAGACAATTGTCTTGCGGAAGATCTCATTGGTAAAATAACTCATTAATCGTACTAAAAATTGTGCATTATTGAGCTTCAGTTTGTTGGTTATGTCAATGTTCTGTCCATTGCCTCAAATAATAATCCAATAAAGTGCCATAAACCGTTTTCCAGAACAGTGCTACGCCGACCGCATCAGCTGTCAATTTTTCATTGCACTGTACTTTCTATATTAGGACCAGCAAATTAATGACTAGATAAACATACAATATATGCTTTCATCTTTCATTTGAGCGCTTATATTCAATCGTACGGTGACTCCTTCTTATTTAAGATCTTCCGTAAGTCCATATTTTATCGTCTCTGTTACATATGTATAA